CTACCCCAGATACCACTAATCTGATTTTTTTTCACTATACTTTTGCCTGTTCTAGGATTTCATATAATGGAATCAGAATATGTATTCCTTATACCAAGGTTCTTTTGCTAAACATCATCTTTTTCATCAGTTCATTCTTTTATTTCTGAGCAGTATTCCACCATAAGAATATATTAAAACTGGGGTGGGTGGGGAAAAGGTAATAAAATAAAAAATAATAATAATATATCAAAATTTGTTTATCTACTCAGCAGTTAAAGGACATTTGGTTGTTTTCAGTTTGGGGTTATTCTGAGTACCGCTGCTACAAACATTTGTTAACAGGTCTTTATGCATGTTTTCACATCTCTCAGGGTAAACTTAAGGAGAACTGCTGAGTCACATTATGTGTATGGTTCCACTCTATAAGGAACTGCCAAACTGTTTTCCAAAGTGTGGTTTTACCATTTTACATTCTCACCAGCAATGTATGAGAGTCTGGATGCTCCACATTCTCACCAATATATAGTATTAGCAGTCTTCTTCATTTCAGCCATTCTAGTGAATCTCTGGTAATACTGTCATTTTGATTTGCATTTCTGTAATGATTAATCTGACCATGTCACCCAGACTGGAATGCAGTAGCACTATCATAGTTCATTGCAGCCTCAATCTCCCAGGCTCAACCAATCCACCTACCTCAGCCTCCTGAAAAGCTAGAATTATGACCACACAGCACGATGCCCAGCTAATTTTTATTATTTTTTTAGTCAAGACCAGGTCTTGCTATTTTACCCAGGCTGGCCTTTAACGCCTAAGCTCAAGCAATCCTCCTGCCTGGGCCTCCAAAAAGTGCTGAGATTACAGGCATAAGCCACTGTACTTGACCAATTTTTAAACTTTTAAATTTGTCTAATTCATTTTCAAATTAAAATCCATCTTGACTTAGTTATCACATAAGGAACACTGTAAGCAAAATAATATATCTCACATGATGAGAAATAAATCTGCTTTATGAAGAGAATGTCATTAACAAAAACTCTCATTAACCTTGACCAACCAACATCAAATAACCTAAATATCTGTGTTTAATGGTATATAATTCTACAGAACAAAAAACATTTTCTTTTCTTTTTTTTTTGAGATGGAGTTTCACTGTTGTTACCCAGACTGGAGTGCAATGGCACGATCTCAGCTCACTGCAACCTCCGCCTCTGGGTTCAAGTAATTCTCCTGCCTCAGTCTCCCGAGTAGCTGGGACTACAGGCGTGCACCACCATGCCCAGCTAATTTTGGTACTTTCAGTAGAGACAGGGTTTCACCTTGTTGACCAGGATGGTCTCGATCTCTTGACCTTGTGATCCACCCGCCTCGGCTTCCCAAAGTGCTGGGATTACAGGTGTGAGCCACCGCGCCCGGCCAAAAAACATTTTCTTAAAGTTCTCATTGTATTTTATTAAATTTCAATCTAAAATGCATGACAAGGAGCACTGAAACCATCAGTAATAACTTAAACACAGATGCAATGCTTAACTTTAACCTGAAGATGCAGATCTCAAATAACACATTATGAAGCTAGACAAGCTCACCTGAGTAGCAGCAGACTGACAGGAAGGTGACGATGACGACGAGACAACAGGAATGTCAGACTGTACAGCAGCCACAGTGGTAGCAGGTGTGAAAATCAGCTGTACAGACAGAAAACCAAAAAAATACCCTAAGACAAAAGAACATGTCCCACACACAATGTGTAGCAGGCAAGGGAGACTGAAATTTGTGACAGAAAGACAATGCAGTTTAGGATTATCTCCTCAGCAAAAGGTTTTACAGGACAAAAAGAAGTTTCTAATAATAGAGAAATCAAAAAAATCATAAACATTTTTAAAACAGCTCATGACTCTGATGAGTGCAAAAAAAAGCAGTACTCAAAAAAGAAAATGTATTTTGGTGATATGAAATTCTGAGACCAAATTGTATCTCAACTAAGCTATTATACTTAAATTTTTCCTAGCTCAAAACTACTGCGGCAGGATTCCTAAAATGGAAAGTTAAAGCAAAACAACAACAGTCACTATTTTGGGACACAAATTAAATTTCAGCGAGAAACAAAAAGAAACACCAAAAAGTCTTTTCAGTCCTCTTTATCATAAGGATAACTATGCCACATACTACACTCCAATATTTCACCCAGCTACAAAGGATTTATAGGACAAATCTAGGTTGCGCTTTCATTTTGAAACTATTTGTAAAGAAGTATTCATTCTATGGCCGGGCGTGGTGGCTCACACCTGTAATCTTAGCACTTTTAAAAGCCCAGGCAGGTGAATCACATGAGGTCAGGAGTTCAAGATCAGCCTGTCCAACATGGTGAAACCTCATCTCTACTACAAATACAAAAATTAGCTGGGCATGGTGGCTCATGCCTGTAATCCCAGCTACTTGAGAGGCTGAGGGAGGAGAATCGCTTGAACCCGTGAGATGGAGGTTGCAGTGAACTGAGATCATGCCACCGAACTCCAGCCTGGGCGACAAAGCAAGATACTACCTTTAAAAAAAAAAAAAAAAAGAAATACTCATTCTCAAACTAAATGCCACACATGTCAAAATTAAACAAAAAAGCCTGCAAAAAAAGCTTCACATCAAAAAACAAAAAGACATATTTAACTTTTTTACTCATCACTTTCCTTTTTCTAAATTTTTTTTTTTTCTGGTAAGAGTCTCACTCTGTCACCCAGGCTGGAATGCAGTGGTGTGATCTTGGCTCACTGCAACCTCTGCCTCCCAGGTTCAAGTGATTCTCCTGCCTCAGCTTCCCGAGTAGTTGGGATTACAGGCATGCGCCACAACGTCCAGCTAATTTTTGTATTATTAGTAGAGACAGGGTTTCATCATGCTGGCCAGGTTGGTTTCAAACTCCTGACCTCAAATGATCGGCCCGCCTCAGCCTCCCAAAGTTCTGGGATTACAGGCATGAGCCACCATGCCTCGCTCAATTTTTTTCAATACCAAAATAAATGCCATTAATTTCTAAGGCAATACAATCCACTCAGAGATTATCTAATTCAATTTAGTAAATTTGACAGTTGTTTCAAAGAATGTGTAAACACTATATTTCAAAATTGTATCAAGGGTTATTCAGTTCCTCTTGCTATCTAAGTTAAAATATTCAATCAAATGAAGATAAAAAAAATTAGAAAAATAAAAGACCAATTAAGTGACCTTTTAAACTTCAGTTCTTCAGTACACTAAATTTAAGTGAATTAAACCACAAAGTACAATGAGCTTTTGATATCTGTGGGTTTGTTCAAGCAACTGCAGATAGAAAAAATATTCATTAAAAAAAAGGATAGCTGCATCTGTACTGAACCTGTAGAAACTTTTCTCATCAGTATTCCCTAAATAATATAGTATAACAACTATTTAAATAATGTTTACATTATATTATTATACGTAGAGATGATTTAAAGTATATGAGAGGATATGCAAAGGTTCAATGCAAATACTGTGCCTTGAGCATCCATCCTCAGATTTGCGTATTCTAGGGGACAGAGAGGGTGAGCCTTGCAACAATCCACCACAGACACCACAGGACAACTGGCACAACTTTCCTGAAAAGGTAATTTCCAGTACCAATACCCTGAAAGGACTAAACCTAAAAAGAAGATATTCCATTTAGTTTGACCTGTATGAAACTGCTAGTTTTAGAGTTCAAAAGTGATCAAATAGCAACCATTTCAAATGGTTCAACCTAATTTTAAAGCATAAATGATTGGAAACTTTCTTTGCAATTTTAGATAGAAAACTGGAGATGTAGATATATAATCAGTCTACTGGACAAAAAAGAATATAAATATATATTAGGGACAATGCTTTTGTCTAGTTTCTTGTAAAGACATCAAATAAAATAGATGTCAACAAATTTCTATATTCCTTAAAGAAGCTTAACAATTAAATTAGGAAATCAGTAAATACTCAAATACAGAATAACCAAATTACCATTACTATATTCATAAAAGATCAAAATGAACAGGAGAACATAAATAACCTTGCAGAATTTGAGATGAGAATAACCAAAGCTAAGAATCATCTGGGAAACTCTCAGGAACTCCAACATAGACTTCAGAAAATCCCAGGACACAAATTCTAACTTATTGAACAACCACGTTTTTTAACATTTCTATTTCACCAAATCTAAGTTGTGAAAAATGATATGAATTTATGGACCACTGTAAGTACCAAGTTGCCATTAGTTATAAAATGCATCCCAATTTCAGAGATGTTAAAATATGAAAAAAAAAAAAAAAGGTTTGTTTTCTATTAAAAATCACTCTTGATATTGACTCTATTAGCTTCCCAATGTTGACAATTACTATTTGATACCAAAAAGACCTATTAATTAAAAGTAGACTCTTTCATGATATAAATGTACAAGAGCTGAAGGCACCCCCACATGCACACACACAATTAAACATTTCTTAAATATTAAAAATACCTCTTATTGTATCAAATCAAGAAACATTTTGATCTCTCAAGTCCTTAAACACTGAAAAAATTTGGTAGCTCATATCTTACCATTTGAGCTCGGAGATACATTTGAGCTTGGCTTGCCGTTAGGGTAGGGGAAGTACTCCCTAGTAACATAGTCTGTTGGGTAATACTGCCGCTGGTAGAACTGGAAGCCTGGGAACGGCTTATTAACTGTGCAGGTGTAGGAGAAGTGGAGAGGTTGATCTAAGGAAGAAAACATATTAGGTCATAGGCTTCCATTTCTTGCTTCCATGTTACTGAATTTCACACCAAGCTGCAGTTAGGTAGTCAATGGTATAAACTGTGGCTAAGGAAACCAAAGGAGAAGGCTTTATCTCTGACAGACCCCCTCATTTCTTTGGGCAATTGTTTGCATATATGTATATGGATTGGTTAGTAATCAGGACAATTTTTAAGAATAGCTACAATGTGTTTCAATAAGATTTCTAGTATCTTAAAATATCATTTCCACTACTTCCTAAAAATTAGGGCCAGTGCTCACTTCGGCAGCACATACACGAAAACTGAAACAATACAGAGAAAATAGCACAGCTCCTGCGCAAAAATAACACGCAAATTCATGGAGAGTTCCATTAGTTTTAATAGAGGATTTTGTATGTTCTCAGCAGTAAGAAATGATCGATGTTTGAGGTGATGGATATGCCAGTTACCCTGATTTGACCACTATGCATGGTATACATGTATTCAAATATCACCCTGTATCCCATAAATATGTATAGTTATGAGGCCATTGAAAATAAAAAATTTAGAGCTAATGTTTCATTTTAATATTCCACATAACTTAAAACATCCTAATAAACACTTTGTCACATTCTGAGGAGTTCGTGAACAAAAATTAAAACATAGATAGTTCATTCACATATATAAAAACATACCTGTAACACACAACTAGTGTAAAGCTGTAACTCAAAAACTCTCAAGCAAAAGAAAATACAATTCCTACTTCTCAAACACATGGAAAAAATCCTGAATATTGACTACAAAATTAAATGATATCAATTCTAAATCTTCTGGGTAATAAATAAAAAGAAAAAAATTATAAACACTAAAGTTTAAAACTTCTGTTAAAGAATAAACTAGTGCATTGTTAACCTCTAGAAGCCTGGGCGTGGTGGCTCATGCCTGTAATCCCAGCACTCTGGGAGGCTGAGGCGGGCTGATCATCTGAGGGCGGCGGTTTGAGACCAGCCTGACCAACATGGAAAAACCTTGTCTCTACTAAAAAAAAAAAGTAAGTGGTAACTGGTTTTATCTATAAAGAGATAACTGGTGTGAGGTAGCTAGGGGAATAGGGAAAACAAAAAGCATACTCTTTTTTAAAATCTTTTTAATTTCAGACAACATGCATGTATTACCCATTTTAAAAATAAATATTTTTGGCTGGACATGGTGGCTTATGCCTGTAATCCCAGTACTTTGGGAGGCTGAGAAGGGCAGACCACAAGGTCAGGAGTTTGAGACTAGCCTGACCAACATGGTGAAACCCTGTCTCTACTAAAAATACAAAAATTAGCCAAGCATGGTGGCACGTGTCTGTAATCCTAGCTACTGAGGAGGCTGAGGCAAGAGAATCACTTGAACCTGGGGGGGCGGAGATTGCAATGAGTCGAAATTACGCCACCGCACCCCAGCCTAGGTGACAGAGTGACACTCCATCTCAAAAAAAAAAACAAGAAATATATTTTTAAAGAGAGAATAATATAATCCAACCTCGAATTATTTTTGTGGAACAAACCAGAGAATAAAATTAATATTTTATTAGAAAAAAATGCTTTATTGGACTTCTGATTCAAGCAACAAGGCAGACTGAATTAATACATCCATGTGACCAAACAGTATCACTTAAATACTAGATCAATATGAAAAATTAGAATACACAGCTGAACTCCAAAGGGGAGAGAAAAGCAGGGAGAGGGAAATTCCTGGTGCAAAAAAGAAACTCAAAGCCAGAGATGTCATCTTAGCTGACACCAAGGCAGTCTATAAGGGTATATTGGGCCTATAGACCCAGAAGATCCACCTCTGTGCTTATTTCAAGGGAGGGCTACATGTGAAATCCCTATTTTGAGGCAAAATCCTGCAAAGAATTCCCCAATATGTAAAAAGGGAGCTGGAAAAACTCCACCCATACATTCTGAGAAACAGCAAAGCAGTCTGCATCCTCTCTGCTCCTAGTGGAGGCAGGGAAGGAGGCACCTATGAGAAAACCCCAGGCTTGCACTAGATGGGGTATAGAATCCAAATCCATACTCCCTGTATGGTTCCATAAGCCATCCCAAGACATTTACATTTGAACTAACCCAAGACACTTGTTAAACTGAATGGTGACTGGAGGAAGCTGAGTGAAGTCAATACAGGAGGACCTCTCTGTACAATTTTTGCAACCTCCTATGAGTCTATAATTATTTAAAAATTAAAAAGTTAAAAAAACTGTAGAGTAGGCACATAAGAGCTGGTTATCTAATTCTCTAAATTGATATATATATCATGTTTTTAATTTTAATATAATATTTATTTTGTCTTTTCCTTTTTTTTTTTGAGTCGGAGTTTTGCTCTTGTTGCCCAGGCTGGACTGCAACCTCAGCCTCCCGGGTTCAAGAGATTCTCCTGCTCAGCCTCCTGAGTGGCTGGGGTTACAGGCATGCGCCACCACACCAGGCTAATTTTGTATTTTTAGTAGAGAAGGGGTTTCTCCATGTTGATCAGGCTGGTCTCAAACTCCTGACCTCAGGTGATCTGTTCACCTCAGCCTCCCAAAATACTAGGATTACAGGCGTGAGCCACTGCGCCCAGCCTTAATATATTTAAAGATATAATTCAATGCATAAATACCAATAATACAATACAGAATTAGTCTGTAATTTGGATCCTACTCCTAACATACCACTGAAACTGCCTTAACAATAGTCACCAGCATCTAACTGACAAACTCAGTGGATTCTTTTCAGACCATTCCCTCGAATCTTTTTTACCAAAGCTTCTTTCAGACCCACTTCCAAAATGTTCATGCTCTGTCTGTAACACTTTTCTTCTTCTTTTTTTTCCTTCGGTGAGATAGGGTCTCCCTTTGTTACCCAGACTGGAGTGCAACGGAGTAATTATGGCTCACTGCAGCCTCAACTTCCTGGACTCAGATGATCCTCCCACCTCAGCCTCCTGAGTAGCTGGGACTATAGGCATGCATCACCACACCCAGTTAATCTTTGTATTTTTTGCAGAGACAGGGTTTCATCATGTTGCCCAAGCTTGTCTCAAACTCCTGGGCTCAAGTGATACCACCTCAGCCTCCCAAACTGCTGGAATGAACAGTGTGAGCCACCACACCAAGCCATAGTTTTCTTCTTGAATTCCTAGATTATCCTATCTATTGCCACAGTTTCAAACAATTCAATCCTGATGACTCTCAATTCTTAACTATAAACCCTTTTTTGAAGTTCCAGATCCAAATGCCTACAGAATACATCTTTCTGGATATCTTTCACCAGCTCAAACTCAGCAAGTTCAAAAGCAAACTAATTATTTATTCCTTTTAAAACAGATTCTCCTCAAATGGCACTGGAATTTTCTAAAATTCTTCAAGACATATTATCTGGAAGTCATCCTGATGCTTTCCTCTCCTTTACCACACACACAATATCAAGTCATGTGTTTTGTTTCTAATTCATCTTTTCGTCTCCTAATTTCCATTCTGATTTTTCGTCACTTAGTTTGAGACTTTGGGCCTGTGTCATTTCCAGCTTGATTACTTTAACATCTGCAAACTGATACCTCTTACTAGAAGCTTGTCACCTTCTACCTGCCAGATAATCTTTCCTTAATTTTATTAATTACCCATTTAAGAATCTTCTGGATAAAGTTAAACCTTTCCTGACAACTTCCCTAGCATCTTCTCCTCCCACTCCACACACATCCTTCCCATTACCCATACTAAGGCATCTGTAATGTCACGATCTCAGTCCTCTACGACACTGGCAATGATATTCCGACTAGACTGAGCATCCTTGCCACCCCATGCCCCAGCCCATCTGCAGCTACATAGTGAACAACTCCTTCTGAAAAATCACCTGCTCTAATAAGCTTTTACATGCATTCCCATATCCCAAAGCAGAAATGACTATTCCCCCTTTTTGCCTAATTGTTACCATCCATATACTTTTAGCATATATTTCTATCTCATCCTTCTTAATTTTTTTTTTTTTTTTGAGACGGAGTCTTGCACTGCCACTCAGGCTGTAGTGCAGTGGCACGATCTCGGCTCATCACTGCAATCTCTGCCTCCTGGGTTCAAGCAATTCTCCTGCCTCAGACTCCCGAGTACCTGGGACTACAGGCATGTACCACCATGCCCAGCTAATGTTTTTGTATTTTTAGTACAGACGAGGTTTCACCATATTGGCTAGGATGGTCTCAATCTCCTGACCTCGTGATCTGCCGGCCTCAGCCTCCCAAAGTGCTGGGATTACAGGTGTGAGTCACCACACCTGGCCCTAAGTGATAATTTAAGGGTGGAGGCCATGTGTTATTCATCTTCACATATCCAGTATTTACAAAATGTCTTCATTCAATAAGTATATTAAGTTAATTAATATCATGTTATTTTAAGGCATATTTCATAGTTTTCATGTAATGTTTAAGCTTTGCTCCAGAAATTAAATCACCAACAGGGAAGAACTGGACCCAAGTATTTCTGACTCAGGTATTTTGGCATTCAGGGTACTTTTTAAATATCTGAATACCTCCTTAATTTCCCTTTTGATTTCTATTCAGGTTACTATGCAGTAATAATGCCTTAGCATTTTTTTCAGTTGCTGATTCTTTTGAAAAACAGTAAGAAAGAAGCATACTCTTAGTCAGGATATCTATACATTTTTTAAAGAAAAATACAAGTCTTCTTAAAAAAATAATTGGCTGACAGCTAACAAATCTGAGAGTGCTTTTTAAGGAAGTAGAGCACAAAGTACAAATAGAATGCTTTTATTTTTCTTAAAAAAGAAAAGAGGAAGTAAGAAAACTAGCAACCTCCTGACCACCTGTATTCTACTCTAGTTGTGACATCAAAGGACAAGTATTGTGTCTACTTTTAAGTTCCATATAACAAGTAATGTTCAAAAACAGCTATCCACTAACAACACCCAACCCATGAAGGCCAACATCAGCAGCCACCTCTGCAAGAAGTCCATCTCCCTGGCTAGCCTGACTGAAAAATTGCTCTTCCTTTCCACAACTGATAAGACTCCTTTTTCCTGTGTTGCTTTACTGACCTAAACTAGATGTCATTACCAGTTTCCATTATTTTCTGTCAGTTCCATCCCAACACTCCTAACTCCCTTTCACTGAAGAGCCTGATCAATCCTGTCACTTCATATCTCAAGTCACACACTTCACAAAGAAACTCACTCACTGAGCCCGATTACTGCAAGCTTCTCCCCACTGACATTAATTCTAGGAGTCACCAGAAAAAAACAAGTCTGCCAGAAAAAGCCACTTAACTCCAACCACCTGTTAGTGTCCGTCAAAAAGTGGGCAAAGGATATGAACAAACACTTCTCAAAAGAAGACATTTACACAGCCAACAAACATAAAGTTCATCATCACTGGTCATTACAGAAATGCAAATCAAAATCACATTGAGATACCATCTCATGCCACTTAGAATGGTGATCATTAAAAAAATCAGGAGACAGCCAGGCACAATGACTCACGCCTGTAATCCCAGCACTATGGAAGGCTAAGGCGGGTGGATCACCTGAGGTCAGGAGTTCCAAGACCAGCCTGACCAACAAGGTGAAACCCCATCTTTATAAAAAAAAAAAAAATCAGGAGACAGATGCTGGAGAGGATGTAGAGAAATAGGAACACATTTACACTGCTGGCAGGAATGTAAATTAGTTCAGCCACTGTGGAAGACATGTGGCAATTCCTCAAGGATACAGAACTGGATGGAAATACCATTTGACCCAGCAATCCCATTACTGGTTATATACCCAAAGGATTATAAATCATTCTATTACAAAGACACATGCATACATATGTTTATTGCGGCACTGTTTACAATAGCAAAGACTTGGAACCAACCTGAATGCCCATCAATGATAGACTGGATAAAGAAAAAGTGGCACATATACACCATGGAATACTATGCAACCATAAAAAGGATGAGTTAATGTCCTTTGCAGGGACGTGGATAAAACTAGAAGCCATCGTTCTCAGCAAACTGACACAGGAACAGAAAACTAAATACTGGGGCTCGCTCCCTGCCCACTCCTGGGGGGACGTTCCGTGCCGCGGCCACCGCTTCTTTCACACTTCAGTTGGGAGCTGCACACCGCGCTCAGTTACTGGAGAGCTGGCCGTGCGCCGCCTCCCGCATGCTCGCACGCAGGCCCGGCTTCAGGGTTTTGGGTTCTTACTCCAAGCGGCGGGGAGGAGGGGGAGCCCCTGGACGCACTGTGGGGACGAGGAGGAAGGGGAGGAGGAAGGTGAGAAGGAAGGGGAGGAGGAGGAGGAGGGAGGAAGAAAAACGGCAAGGACAGGGGCGGGGGATGGGAGGCTTGCCACCTTCAGCCCCCCGGCGAGTGCCCAAGGTGCACATATCTTGACCAACTCAGAAACAAGGTGGATTTTCTTTGTGTTTAAAGAAAAAAACAATGTCCCCGTGTCTGTAGAGATGATCTGCAGTTCAGCCCGGCTGAAGCTGACCGAATGAGACTATGGGCTGTGCCTCTGTCAAGCATGTTGCCACTGTTCAAAATGAAGAGGAGGCCCAGAAAGGGAAAAACTACCAGAATGGAGATGTGTTTGGCGACGAGTATAGGATCAACCCAGTGGAAGAGGTCAAATACATGAAAAATGGGGCAGAAGAAGAGCAGAAAATAGCAGCCAGGAACCAAGAAAACTTGGAAAAAAGTGCCAGCTGAAGGTCGGGTGTGGTGGCTCACACCTGTAATCCCAGCACTTTGGAAGGCTGAGGCCGGCGGATCACCTGAGGTCAGGAGTTCGAGGTCAGGAGTTCAAGACCAGCCTGGCCAACAAGGATAAACCCCATCTCTACTAAAAATACAAAAATTAGCCAGGCGTGGTGGTGCACACCTGTAATTCCAGCTACTCGGGAGGCTGAAAAAAAAAAAGTACCCGCTTAAATGTCAGACTTAAAACTAATAAAGAGGTTCCGGGATTAGTTCATCAAACCAGAGCAAACATGCACATCTCTGAAAGCCAACAAGAATTCTTCAGAATGCTGGATGAAAAAATTGAAAAGGGTCGGGATTACTGTTCGGAAGAAGAGGATATCACATAGCACCAATTTTACCACTCAAACCAGGAGTTACTGCTGTGTAAATAGGTTACACCCCAGTTGAAATCTTTGCAAAGGTCGGTTCTATTCAGCAAACAGCACTATAGCAAAAGAAGATCGTTCCATATCATACGCCCCATTAAATTACAGTGTTTCTTAATGAACTTGTAAAGGAATATTGCTAAAAACAACAAAAAACTGTTATCGAACTTTCTTTGTTGCTGCTAGTTAAAACTTGTTGCAACTTTTCACTTCTCGTGTCCAGGTATGCAGCAAAATTCTGCAATTTCACCTTAAAGATACTGTTGTTTTACAGATGCTCTCCAACCTATTTTCTATAAGATGAGGTAGTGGTGAAGTCAGATATCAAACTTCTATTCTAAACTGGTTCTGCTTCTAAGACAAGCATCTCCTGCCCTCTCTCCTTCCTCCCCATCTCTCGCACGCAGTCTAGAGATGGACTGAGCCTTGCTTCTTGCTGGCAGTGTTGAGTTTTGGAGTTGGGATGGTTGCTATGGCAAGCCTTGTTCCTCTGCTCAGAAGAAGTGGAGAAGCTATTATCAATTAGAAGCATGGTGTGATGTGACTCCTGGAAGTGACATAGGAGTGGCAGGTTGTTTGATTTAATAGGTATCTTAGTCAAGGACTAAGCTTGCAGCATTGGCTTTGCTCAGATGCACGTGGAAGTGTGATCACAATCATTTTGAATCCCTCCTCCTTTTTCTTCTAAGAAAATAAACATTTTACTGTTTTTATGGAAAAAAAACAAACACTGCACGTTCTCACTCTTAAGTGGGTGCTGAACAATAAGAACACAGGGACACAGGGAGGGGAACATCACACACCCGGGCCTGTCAGGAGGATAGTGGGGTAAGGGAGGGCTAGCAGTGGGTGGAGGGATTGGGGAAGGATAACATTAGGAGAAATGCCTAATGTAGATGACAGGGGGATGGATGCAGCAACCACCATAGCATGCGTATACCTATGTAACAAACCTGCACGTTCTGCATATGTACCCCAGAACTTAATATAATTTTCAAAAATAAATAAATAAGATGCAGTCTTGTTATGCTGCCCAGGTAGTTCTCAACTCCTGGGTTCAGGCAACCTCAAACTCCCAAGGAGCTGGGACTATAGGCGTATATCACCACACCCAGCTCTTTTTCCTACAATTTTTAATATTTTAGTCTCACAACAGAACCGATAATATAAGTAGAGGAACAATCTCTCCTACCAAGTATATAATACCTAAATAGTAAGTGTCCAAGAAAAACAGCTATATGCTATTTGTTGTACAGTTTTTCAACTAAAAGGTGCCAGGGAGATTCCATGATTACAACCAAGTAATTTGATCCACAGACTTATACTGGCAAAAATATAGATGTCACACTAGTATGATTTAAAAGTCAAAGTATCAATATTTACCCAATTAAACCTTAAACAAACTTCATATTTTCTCTATTGGGAAAAGCATTTCCTAGTGTGATTTTTATGTTGCAATGTATCTTCCAGTTCATTTTTGTTCAGCCCCCACCCTGTCACAGTACTTATCAATCTTTTCTTACCAACGTTCAATAAATTTTTTTAATCAACTAGCAAAAAAAAAAAAAAAACTTTCCAATCGATTACTCCCCACAGCCAAAGTCCATTTGACAGTTGCCTCTGCCATCTGACTGATCAGAATCAATCAGGTATACTTTAAATAGAGAAATACTTGACATTAAAAGAATGATATATCTGTATTCAATGGCATTAAAAGATTTTTATGCCCACTGCTGAGTAAAAAAGCAGCAAAATAACATATAGAGTATAATCCATGTAGTTACATACAAATGTCTGTGTGTATGTATGTATCACACGCGAAAAAAGAAAGATGGCCAGGCACAGTGGCTCACACCTGTAATCCCAGCACTTTGGGAGGCTGAGACAGTGAATGGCTTGCCCTCATGAGTTCAAGGCCAGCCTGGTTAACATGGTGAAACCCTGTATCTACCAAAAATACAAAAAATTAGCCAGGCATTGTGACATGTGCCTGTGGTCCCAGCTACTTGGGAGGCCGAGCTGGGAGGATCGCTTGAGCCTGGGAAGCGGAGGTTGCAGTGAGCTGAGATTGCAGCACTGCACTCCAGCCTGGGCAAGAGCAAGACCCTGTCTAAAAAAGAGGAAAAAAAAGTTAAGAAAATGACTGCATTGGATGTATACACAATTACACACACCCATAACACTATATATGACTAGACTCAATATAGAAACACACACACATGCACCACTATCTGTGAGAACGGTCACCAAAATGTTAAAGGTGTTTAATGTCTTCTATAAAATCTGGGATTACATTTTTAAAAAGTTTTTACCTTTTCTATGTAGGAATTAATTTTAGAATCAGAGAGAAAATGCTATTTTTGTCCTTTTTAATGCTTCCTTTAGAATATTAATTTACTTTTATTATGTTAAAGCAGCTTATAAATTGTACTGCCTCATTATTCAGTGGGAACTTCAATGTGAGTATTTCAAATATTGGTAAGTATAAAATGCTATATAAAAATTTATTATTTTTTTTTTTTTAAGAAAAAAAATGGGGTCTCACTATGTTGCCCAGGCTGGTCTCCAACTTCTGGGCTCAAATGATTCTTCCATCTGGGCCTCCCAAAGTGCTAGAATTACAGGTGTGAGCCACCATATCCAGCCCTATACAGAAATTTTTTTTCTTGAGATGGAGTCTTGCTCTGCTGCCCAGGCAGGAGTGCAGTAACATAATCTTGGCTCACTGCAACCTCTGCCTCCTGAGTTCAAGTGATTCTCCTGCCTCAGCCTCCTGAGAAGCTGGGACCACAGGTGCCCACCACCATGCCTGGCTAATTTTTGCATTAGTAGAGAGGGGTTTTCCCCATGTTGGCCAGGCTGGTCTCGAACTCCTGACCTGAAGTGATCCCCCCACCTCGCTCTCCCAAAGTGCTGAGATTATAGGCATAAGCCACCATGACCAGCCTTTTAAGTAGTAATAGCTATCCACAAAGGATTTTCTTTTTAAGAGACTGCATGTTTTTATTAAATCAAAAAATTAAAATGCCTTTTTAGAAAATATTTATTTTAGAAAAGATTACTTATTTTTGTAATACAAGCTCGTAAAAATAAAACAAACCAAAGAACCTCACAGTTTCCAAATGTTTTCAGATGTTGACACCCTAGAAAGAAAAGTTGCAATGTTAGAACAATTATAATATTGGAAATAATTTTAAATGTCTAGCAACAGGGATGGTTATACAAAATAAAATCCATTCACACTGTGCAAACCCTACACAGCAGCTTTAGTGAGATTCATCTCTGTCTGCAAACATAAAAAGATCTCAAGACACACTGTTAAGGGGGAAAAAATGCAGAATACCTGTGTTTACAATGTGTAAAAAAGAGTGCTAAGAGCATATATGCACAATTCTCTATGATATACAGGTCCATAAAACATAGGATAAGATCTGAAGGCCAGGCGCAGTGATTCATGCCTGTAATCCCAGCACTTTGAGAGGACAAGGCAGGCGGATCACGAGGACAGTAGTTCAAGACCAGGCTGACCAACATGGTGAAACCCATCTCTACTAAAAATACAAAAATTAGCTGGGTGTGATGGCACACACCTGTAATCCCAGCTACTCAAGAGGCTGAGGCAGGAGAATCACTTGAACCCGGGAGGCAGAGGTTGTGGTAAACTGAGATAGTGCCACTGCACTCCAGCCTGGGTAATAGAGTGAGATTCCATCTCAAAATTAAAAAAAATCTGGAAGGTTATAGAACCAACTGAGAAGACAGAGGGACTGAAAGGAAAAGGAGGAAATGAGGCCTTAGGGACCTGAATACCTTTTTTACTTTTTCTGTACTATTGGGAGTATTTTACAAAAATGCAGTTAAAGCTGCTTGTGACCACACAAATATTCAGGCTACAGTTTTATTTCAGACTACTATTAGGTTTTGGAAAAGGCTTCTACACCCAACCATTTAAAACTGTATTTTAAAGAATCCTCAAAAACTATGAGTTTTGAAGCCTAAAAAAAAAAAAAAAAAAAAAAAACACCTGACTTCCACCAAGATAACCAAATAGGAACAGCTGCAGAGCACAGTTCCCAGCGAGAGCCACACAGAAGGCGAGTGATCTCCGGATTTCCAACTGAGTTACCAGGTTCATCTCAATGGTACTAGCTGGACAGTGGGTGTAGCCCAAAAAGGGAAAACTGAGGCAGGGCAGGGCGCTGCCTCACCCGGGAAGTGCAATGGGCTGCAGGACCCACTCCTACCCAAGAGGCCATGGGGACTTTTCCCGCCACTCCAGCACTCCAGTTCAGATGCTGCGCTTCTCCTGTGGTCTTTGCAGCCCATAGACCAGGAGATTCCTGCTGGCCAACAGGTGCCATGAGTTTCCAGCACAAATCTAAAAGGCTAATTCAGCTGGCGCAGCAGGTTTCCAGCACAAATCTGAGTGGCTGTTTTGGCTGGCGCCTGGAGTGCCTATGAGACAGAGCGGCCAGTACCCCTGAGAGAAAGGGGGCTGAAGGCGGAGAGCCACTGGCTCGGCAGGTGCCACCCCTATGGAAACCAGCAAACTGAATCCCACTGGCTTGGGATTTTCACAGCCAGTACAGCAGTTTGAGCTCAACCCAGGTTGGTCGAGCTCAGTGGGGGAAAGGGCATCCGGCCGTTACAGAGGCAGGCTGCCATTATGAAGGTAGTTCTAACCTAACCTGTGTAAACAAAAGCACAAGGAAGTTTACACAGAAGCTGGGCAGAACCCACCATAACTCAGCAATGCCTCTGCAGGCAGACTGTAACTAGACTCTCTCCTTGCTGGGCAGGGCATCTCTGAAAAAGGCAGCAGCCTGTTGGGGACTTATAAAGCCCCACTATCCCGGGACAGAGCACCTGGGAAAAGGGGCGGTTTTGAGTTCAGCTGCAGCAGATTTAAACGTCCCTGCCCAGCACCTCTGAAGGGAGAACAGAGCTCCCAGCACAGCATT